ATAAAAACAATGAATAAATAAAACTAAATAAATAAAAAACACAGAGGACCACCCAACTCACATGGGATTAAAGGCCAAAGAATACATATAACAACTTTATACTTAAACTATTAGATTATCCAAAAAGCTTGAACAAGTTAAACAGTGATAAGGCTGCAAACATATTTAGACAAAGACAATCTGAAATGTTCTGAAATATCTTTATTAGGGTACAGGTCTCTCTCAACTAATGAATGGACTGTAAAATTAAAGCCACTTTTAATAATAATTTCCAAAAAATGACTACAATAAAAGCATGATTATTTGTGTATTTATTGCATTGAATATGCTGAATAACTCAAACTTGTTTAATTACATGACTTACATGTGCACTAATAAATGTATAATGATTTATATTGTATATGCATCTAACTGTACCCCATTTAAATTTGCCTTCTTTGATAAATAAATTTCTTGTGATAAATTTAGTAGCTGTCTGGCATTTTTGGTTTGTAAAAGTAGCTCACTGGCAGAAGGTTAGAGACCCCTGGACAAGAGTATTGTAGAATAACTCTCTGTCTCCATGAAAAATATCCAAAGTTAACTTTCGATTTCTGTGGAATCCTGCAAAGGACATGCACCACCCATTAGTACTTTTGTAGACAGCATACTTGATATTTAAAATTTCTGTTCAGCATATATATGGACCTACAAGTTAAAAAATAATGTACTCTATAAGAAATCTTCCAGCAACTGCCCGGCATGACGCAAGTCAACTCAAAGTGATTGCACGTTGAAGGTCTTATATTACACAAAATTCCTGTGACCTTTAAACCATGTTATAATGTTATTAGCTCAAAAACATACCTGGAGCTGTGTTTTGTTTCATTCACACATGTTTGAGTAACCCTTTATTATGAGTCTGTCTACATCTCTACAGCTCAAAATGCTCAGTTTCACCTTGTGATGTCATGTAGTTGTAGTTTTCAAGTTAGCAGCTACCTTCAATTCAATTCCTTTATATAAAATAACAACAAAATTACGTTAGAGCATCATACAGACAGCATAGTATTTTAAAAGTGCAGAATTTGTCTAGAGCACCCACCCTATGACACCCACCACGTGAACATTACACCCACTATGTAAACCAGGCATGTCCAAACTATGGCCCATGGGCTAAAAGCGGCCCTCAGACAAATTTTTCTTGGCCCTCAGGCTTCCAGGTGAATTGGCCCAAATAAAAAATGAGCTTTTTACTGTAAGTTTTTTTTTTTAAATCTACCTTGATAAATCTAATGTTTAATATTTAGTGTGTGGTTTTAAAGATCTTGAATGAATAAAGACTGATGGCTCAATCTAACATGTTAAACATGCACGTATTTCAGTTCTTCTCTGTATTGAGCACCAGTCAACAGCCCTCGATCAGCCCTCTGCTTTGTCTGTATTTAGATATGTGGCCCTTGATGAAAAAAGTTTGGACACCCCTGATATAAACATTAGAATACAATACTAGTAATAATATCAGTGCACCAACAAAGGGGCATATCAACAAAAGAACCAAAAGAACTGGGACATCAAGGACAGGGGGGCAACCAGTCAGATGTGTGTTTAAATGTCCTGTTGCAGCAGCGATGGAAAGTCCAGTTCACAGTTACTGTAATGGGTGGATATGGTTTACTGACCTTTGGAGGAGGGAAGAGAAGGGGGCGGGGCACTGTTCAGCATTCTCACTGCCTGAGGGGACAGACTGTGGGCCAGTCTAGATGTTCTGGCCTTTTACCTTTAGTTCAGTAGAGATTTGCAATGCCAGGGCCAGAATTATCCAAATGATTCTAGTGAAGGAGTCTAAAAACACAGTGAAGTGACATTACAAGGAGTGTTTTCTGTTTTAGAGAAGAACTCAGCCTAAATATGCAGGATTTTCATGTTAAATATGTGAATGAAACAAAACACAGCTTCAGGTATGTTTGAAGAAGAATGAAGAAACAGCATTATCAGATCAGAAAAGAGCTTAATATAAGGCCTTTAATAATAAATTCTTACAATGGGATGCAATAACTACTATCCTAACCAAAACTCCACAAAAATCCACACTCCTCGTCAAGTCAAGTCCTCTAGCCCGCACTTGACTTTTCCTCTATTCATTTAAACCAGAACTCAGAAGTTAAAATGAAGTTTCCTCTTTTCCGACATGTCTTTGAACCTCTCCTTACTCCTCCGCCAGAGCCTTGTCAGTTCATTTGTAACAGCCCGGTTCAAAATGGGGGTTTTATCTCAGACACTTTTTGAGGTTTTGAATGCGTTCTTGAGGCTTAGTTTTGATCTGTATCTGCTACGGTGGATCTGGGCTGTCAATATGATATTTTCTCTTTGTTGGTGAAAGATTAATGCGGTTGGCAGCAGGGAGAGGAGATTTAAAACTCAGTACTATTCACTGGAAACCTGCCAATGTTTGGAGAAGAAGAACACGAAAGGTGGGATTTCAATTTTTGGATTTTGAGTACAATATGTTCGGATTATAGTGTATTGTTTGTCTTTCTGAATATGCAATTTTAACCATGAAAAGAAGTAAAGAAATGTTCCAAGGTACTACATTTATACATTCATTTAGTAATATACACCTAGTATTATCAGAAGTATAGACCAGACCTACATATTTCATCAAAATGGTCACACACAATAGTAAAAACAGCAAAGTAGTGTCATTTCGGGGGTATCTGAGACTAGTCTGATTCATCAGCCAGTTTCACTTCGTGGAAACCATCTGACCTCGCAGCATTAGGATTTGTTCATTCGATGGTAGACGAGTACTTTTTTTTATCTAACCAATCACCGCTATTTGGTCGTGACGTATGTAATCCCACAGGAAGAAGGGCAATAACGTCTTCATAAAATTCACCAAACATTCTCTTTGTTCTGACTTTACATCCTCGATCTTGGGAATTGTTGCCAACACAGAATATAAGGCTCTTCGCTGATTGGCTGGTGCCCGGACTCACACTTCCGGGGTTCTTGCAAACCGTCTAGTGTATTCCGATTCCTGACCTAGGAGAGAAATTAAATTGAGCAGAGGCACTAGGTGACACTAGCCTGGCTAATTTGAGACCTTCTTTATCATGTGAATAAATATCATGAGCCAATTTGATCATTTTCAAGAGAAAATAAAGGACTATGACAACTATAACATCCAAAACTATATGAGAAACCACAGCAGAACAGCGTAACGGTTATTTTTCTCAGTTTCGCACTCTGTCTTTTGTCTTTGTAGGGTAGTGTACTTTTACAATAATCAAAGTGTGTAGTATAAATAGTAATAAAAATGCCTTGCACTTCCTTACACCCCTCAAATTGCTCCAGTGTAGTCATACTTAGTCGCACTATACTGGGTGCTGGTAAGATACTATTGTAGCCACAGATGCCCTGGGGCAGGCTGACGAAAGCAAGGTTGCTGTAATGGTCACAGAAGAGGTATTTGATTGAAGAAGTAAAAGTAGTTAGCAACGACATATCAGCAATTCATCGTCACAGCAGCAGAACAATCCTCTTCTTCATCATCTCCATGTTCCCCTCCTTCACCAATAACTGCTTGAAAATTGGATCTAATCAGTGAATAACGTCTCATCCATTTGTATTATTTTTCTTGCCGAGGGGCATTCGCAGACAAAAGGCTATTTTCATTCTCATTTTTAGGGGTACATTTTGTCCATTCCAGTCCAAAATGGCTGCCACAGCTGAGCGCCTCTAATTACACCTGTCTTTATGTCCTGTCTGTGCCCAATGATGACGGTCTATTCACATTTGAACAACTCTCCAGCCTCGTCTCCTTCCTCCCCTGATTCTGCCATTGTCCGAGTCAGTTTTGCATAAATAGTCAAACGGAGGAACATTACAATCAGCAAACAAAACGTAGCATAAAAGGGGCTACTGGTGTGCGAAAATATGGACATCTAGGGCCACTTTAACGTCATTTTTCACCTACAAGTTTTGGTTTCAATAAGTGGATTTAATAGTGAAGTGTGTAACTGTTTTGGTAGAGGATCTGGTCCGCCACCAGCTTGACTCCATGCTTTCTTTTTTCCTGAAATGTTCTAGAGTACGGCATTTAATTTATCAATCTCCATGACGACAAGCAGGCCATATCTCCAGACCAAGTTACAAGTGAGATCTGTGGAGAAGTGGACCTGCTCACAGAAATAATGCATGTTTTTGAAGTAATTTTGACAAATAAAAGAACTGTAATTGAATAAAATATATTTGTGTAGCCATGCAATTCCTGACAAAGCAATAATATCACCATGGAGACAAGCAGATAGCAGACCCTCCACCAGAAAAGTTACACAGTGCAACTTTAAACAACTTTTGGATAAAAAATAAGCCTACATCCAGCCTAAGTGTTTTAAATAGATAAATAAATAAACAAATAAATAAATACTCGCTCACTCTTCCAAAAATAACAACAAACAAACAAAACACTCGGTTTGAGCGTTGAAAATGTTTCTTTTCTTTTCTCTCTTTTTTGTTAGACTCTATGCGCAAGGCTTTGGGAAAATCGCTCATAAAAATGTAAAAGTCGACCTAATCAAACTGGATTGGCCGGCCTATCTCTGCATAGTAACAAAAGAAGCCACAGCGTGTTCCAACCCTGCAAGTCTATAGATTGCGAATAAAAAATAAATAAAAATCAGTTTCTTTTCCTTTTTCTAATCAGCGCTGCACAGTCGTCTGCCTGGTTCCTATATATGCGCCAGCCACACTTGACAGATTTTCATGGGCTGGGCAGATAAAGCCGTAACGGGAGGAGGACACGTGACCGCGGAGCTTGAAGGAGCGGCGTTCATAAGTGTGAAGAGACAAGAGCGAGAGCGCACAGAGAGACGAGCGGCAGAAGCGGCAGGAGCGGCACAGCAACAGGACCTAGAGCGCGGAGAAGTGCCCAAAAACAGCGCGCTAAGGCAGAGGCACCTCTTTTCAAACTTGTGCAACTTTTAAAAACAACTATGGTTCAAATGCGGAGTGCTTTTTAACTAGTACCAGTCATTCCTCACATCTGGTTTTACATAAGATCAGTGGTGTTTGGTGATGCGCATCTGAATTGGATTAACGCGCGGAGATAAAGGGCGATTCTGCGCACTTTGGGCATTATGTAAGGTAAGATTTTTTGATTGATGTTTTAAATAGCCTAAAGATTTCTTTTTTCTTGTATTTATGTGTAAGTACCATCGAACAGTTTGTCTGGTGCAGAAGTGTTTTGTATCTGAATATTGAAACACTCGCATAAATTGTTTATTATAGTCACATCACAAATATTTTTTGAATATAGAAATACTTTCTTCCCTTCAGCATAATATTCAGATTTCAATAGAATTAATTAGCTTGTGTGCATTTACTTCAGGCTAATCCATAAATATGCAATGAAAATGTGCAGATGTGGATTTGCGTAAAGCGTGCGCATCGTCTGTAAAACCATTAAAACAATTAAAGTCCCATCTCTGTCCCTCTGTAAAGTGATGCTTATTGATTGATGGTTTGGGCGCTGAGGAGATCAGGGTGTTGTTGGAGCTCTGCAGAAAGCAAATGAGTTTTACATCTACAAATACTGGGATAAATGATGCCCAAATATGAAGTCCATTATGGGAAAATTTATATTTTTATATTATGCCTAAATGTACAAACATAAATGTTGGATTATATAATGTCATTTGATTTGCACATTATTTCACCCTAAAGGCGTGGACGCAGGTCCGACAGTAATGTGTTCAGATGCGGTGTAAATGCTCTTGGTGAATTCATGTGTTTTGTGACTCTTTGCAGGAGTCAGGTGTGTGAGAGCAGACAGCCGCAGCCATGAAGTCAGTGCTGGACGGAGTGGCCGATACCACCTTCAGGACTATCACCTCCGGGCTGCAGTACCTGGGCTCTAACGACGCCAACTACGATGACCCCCTCAACAATGTGGACTTTAAGAGCTCCTTCTCACTGCAGAAGCCGCTGTCGGCTTTCCGCAGTAACTCTTTTCCAGACAAAGTCCCTGTGGACGAGGACCTCATTTTAAAAAACATCCCGTTATTCCCCACCAATGCCACAGACCTGTTCAGTAACCGGACTCTGCGGGAGGATGGCAGTAACATTCAGTGTGGGGAGAACTTTATGGACATGGAGTGCTTCATGATCCTCACCCCGAGCCAGCAGTTGGCAGTGGCCGTGTTGTCTTTGACCCTGGGCACCTTCACTGTGCTGGAGAACCTGGTGGTACTGTGTGTCATCCTCCAGTCTCGCACTCTGCGCTGCAGACCCTCCTACCACTTCATCGGCAGTCTGGCCATCGCCGATCTTCTGGGCAGCATTATATTTGTGTACAGCTTCTTGGACTTTCACATTTTCCACAGAAAGGACAGCCCTAATGTGTTTCTATTCAAGCTGGGCGGAGTCACCGCCTCCTTCACTGCGTCAGTGGGCAGTCTGTTCCTCACTGCCATAGACCGCTACATCTCCATCCACCGCCCCTTGGCCTACAGACGCATTGTGACGCGCACCAAGGCTGTCATCGCCTTCTGCATGATGTGGACCATCTCCATAGTAATTGCAGTGCTACCTCTGTTTGGCTGGAACTGTAAGCGCCTCAACTCTGTGTGCTCTGACATCTTCCCCCTCATCGATGAGAACTACCTGATGTTCTGGATTGGAGTGACCAGTGTGCTGGTTCTCTTCATCATCTACGCCTACATCTTTATCTTGTGGAAGGCGCACCACCACGCCGTACGCATGCTGAGCCGTGCGTCTCAGAAGAGCCTGGTGGTGTACTCTGCTGATGGGACTAAAGTGCAGACCACACGGCCGGAGCAGGCACGCATGGACATCCGTCTGGCCAAGACCCTGGTGCTGATCCTGGTGGTTCTGGTGATCTGCTGGGGCCCCGTGCTGGCCATCATGGTGTATGACCTGTTCTGGAGGATGGATGATGATATCAAGACAGTGTTTGCCTTCTGCAGCATGCTCTGTCTGCTCAACTCCACAGTCAACCCCATCATCTACGCTCTGAGGAGCAAGGACCTGCGCCATGCCTTCCTCAGCTCGTGCCACATGTGTCGGGGCAGTGGGCAGCAGCTGGACAACAGTCTGGAGTCAGACTGTCAGAACAGACACATCTCTGCACACCGCGCCGCCGAGAGCGCCGTCAAGACCACTGTGAAAATCGCCAAAGTCACTATCTCTGTGTCCACAGACACCTCCGCCGAGGCCGTGTAGGGCTGCCACTGGAGAAGCTCTGTAAATGTCACCCAAAACATCCAACACAATTAAGGAGAAAAACATCATCTCAGCTGACATGTCACAGACTGGCTCTGGAGGCGGCAGTGGCGTTTGTGTGCCTAAGTGCCAAATGGTGAAGCAAGGTCATAGACTCACTACTTTAATGAGAGGAATACCATAAGTGTGTCATAGACTTTGTGATACTCACGTAGTGAAGGCATATTCTATTTTTATACTGTGAATTCAGGTTTTGAAAACAAAATAACTTCATCAATGGGATAAGGGGCTACTGATGTTCTTAATTCAACTCAGTTTGACTGTGTCATGTTGACGTCATGTGTGTCTTGCACCATAACAAATCTAGGCCTTGACTTCCGGCTTCATCTACATGCTGCATATGGACAATTATGAAGACTAAACCATAACTCATCATTATTTGTTTGACATCAAATGTCTTTTGTACTTAAAGAACTAACTTATGACAACACTCAGTGAGTGGCAAATACTAGAATACTTAACAGGTGAATAAAATGTTGTGCAAAAATAAAATAAATGACAAACAAGTCAAAGATGAGATAAAAGATGAGGTTTGTCCACATAAATCTCAAATGGCATTTTCCTTGACAGCGACAGTTGTCCCTGTGGTCAGTTCCACTCTCTAACTGTTAAACTTTTGGAGTGTCTTTGTTCAAATGTAAATCTAACCAACTGTACAGTGTTACAATGAAAGTGTTTGAGACATTTAGCAGCAGCTACTCCACAAGCTTCTGGCCAAAGCTTGGACGCCTTGGAAAGTTTGGACGCAGTGTGCTGGTCACTACTGTCACAAATGTGTGTTTAAAGAGCTCTTAAATGGACTGTATGACTGACTATTACTGTGCGTGTGCTATTGTGTGATATTTACCCACCCTGAGCCTTTCATCATTGCAGTAACCTGTTTTTAGTGCTATACTGTTGCAGCAGACCTCTTTCCGGTGGGGAAAATAAAGGCTAAACCATGCACAGACCTATAGTAAAATCCTTCTGGCATTAAACATTCATTTTTTCTGAAAAAAAGGGGGGTCATTCTATTAGCTGGTTACTTGAAATAAAGCTTTTGTGTATGCATAATGTAGAAAAGCAACAACTGGTCAAAACAATCTGAGAATATGTGATTTTACAAATAAACAATGTAGTACTTTGAAAACCTTAGAGATCACAGCACAATCGTCCTGTAGACATTTATCTTGGTGTAAAGTCGTCAGACAGCTGTATCAGTATGCTTCGCTGCCTCTGTATTAGTGAGTATTGAAGATCAAATTGTCAATTGTCAAGTGGCTTCTGTACATTGGTGGCATAACAAGGACAAAAAACACAAGTGTTTTTAGTATTGCTGTTTTCAAACTTTTAATAAAGTTGCAAATGGTTGTCAAACTCGTCTGCAGTTTTATTTGGCTGACTAATAAATATGGTAGGGCCATCGTCACTCTGCTCTAGCCTCCGGACCATCCTCATGGATCTATTCAAGTCAAGCAGATTGATGGAGCAACAGTGCCCCCTTGTGTCTAATAATATAACTCATTGAACGTCTCCTTGTAAAGACACTAAAATTGGCGTTGACAACAACATCTGCTCACTTCCTCAAATGCGTGTGTTAAGATGTGGGTGAGGAGTCCCAGCATCTGCTGACACAGATGCAAGCGAGCTTTTCTTCATAATGCATAGGCTGTTAACAGTGGATCTCTGAATACATTGATCCCCAATAGGGTCACGTTTAATTGACTTTTAATGACGTGGGATCAATGCATACTAATGCATTTTGTGACGTGGGATCAATGCACACTAATGCATTTTGTGAGGAAGTTCATTTAGCCTAAAGTCTTCTTTTTTATTTAACCTATTTATTTATTGTGACATAAATGCTACAAAGTACATACATTTTAATAACATCCATTATAAATAAAATAACACAATAAGTAAACGGTAAATGATTGGTAAATAGTTACATTCAAGAATCTTTGCATCGAGGAAACCAATTCACACACACATTCAGTCACCAACCTGTGAAGGGGGTCTGACCTCTCTATAAGGACAAATATTGTACACTTATTTAGATGGATTTTTCAAACATTCTTGTATAGCATTATAACGGTGAGATAAATTGTATTCATAATAGAACAGATATTTGACTATTACTATTTTACTATTATTATTCATTGTTTCATGTTGCATCCATGGTCGCACGTTATTTTAATAGATCTATGAGTTGCACCGTATCGCCAAAGAAAGTTCCTAGTTTGAGAATTTTGTTCAGTGACAATGACAATAATAAAACTCTTTTCTTATACTAATTGAACGATTTGGTCATGTTATAGGCGCGAGTTAGGAGTGTCGAATATTTTTAAACACGCCAGTATCACCGCTTAAAAAAAATACGACCCTTAAGATGCGGTGGAATTACAAGTATGTTTATGTTTGTTGTCAAACAATTTTAAATCCCTCGGTGTTTTACTGCTACTGGGAGATGTAGTTTTTTAATGGTAAGTTAAAGAACACTGGATTGAAGCAAAAACTACAACTACCGGCATTGGGTGTTCTCCTGGGCATGCGTAAAAATGCTTAGACAGAGACGGTAATCGATCGCCTGAAAGCGCCTAGCTGTTGTATGAATCTTTTGGATGTCCGGGCATTAAATCTACCATCATCTGATTTAATACAGGCTTAATCTGTAGAGATTTTAGATCCTTTGTTAGTTCGACGGTTTTTGTTGCTTTCAAGACGCGGAATTTATCGACAAAACGCATTAAATAAGGCAAAAAGGCGTATTTTCGCTCCCCGGAAAGCTGCTATCTTTAGCCGCTAAGGTTAGTTAGCTTTAGCAGCTCAGACCGGGGCCCACAGGGTAACCTCGATTCTACTGTAAAGCTTTTCCAAACTCTTAGTAAAATGGCGTGTGGGGCTACTCTGAAGAGGAGTCTGGATTTCGACCCCTTAATGAACCAGGCTTCCCCGAAAAGACGGAGGTGCGCCCCGATCGTGTCTCCGGTGTCTTCGCCCCAGAAATACCTGCGTTTGGAGCCCTCGCCTTTTGGGGAAGTGTCGTCCAGACTCACAACAGGTAATGTTATAGCCCCACATTTTAATATATGTATGTAGAACTGTCATTATGATTAAGTGGCCTCCCTGGACTCTTACTATGGTTGAATGACAAAACAAAACGCACATATGACGCAGAAACGGATCCAGGCTTTGCACCAGAGCAAACCCTGTTGTTTCACGTCCAGTTAACTCTTATCTGCTGTACCAGGTTGTAATGTCGACGTGTCTTATTTGAGGCCTAAAATAATGTAAAGTTTTAATGTCGTGTTTTTATACAAACATCTATTGCTACATGTATTATCATTATACGTTGACGACCACTGCTTAGTTCCTTGCTTTAATGTGCTTGTGGGAAGTTAAGACGACAGGCCCATGTCCAATAATAACATGTTGATGCAACCTTTAATACAATAATGAAAGCATGACCCAACTGTCACTGCTAGTAACGATTGACTTTTCTTTATATTGACCTTTCTCTTAACAAATGGTTTCCTCTTCCTGGAAAACTAATGATTTGTCTTATCTTGTTTTTGTCTCTCCAGAGCAAATCCTCCACAATATAAAGCAGGAGTACAAGCGTCTGCAAAAGAGGCGGCACCTGGACAGTGGCTTCCAGCAGCAGGCAGATGGATGCTGTCCGGTGGAGCTGCAGAACATTCACAGTGGAGCAGCACTACCAGGTAAAATGAGGACACAGCTCTAAGTGTATGTGGAACAGCTCTGCGCAAAACCCCAGGAATGTTATTTAAGCCGAATGTGACTGCTCTTCTTCTGAGCTGTCTGTCCTCAGGAGATCTACTATCAGTACGAGTGTTTTAGTAGTTTCAATATTATTAGGAGTGTCCTTTGTCTGTAAAGGGTTAATGTATGAACTAGATAAAGCTTTGGGCTTGGTCCTCTAGATCTGTTCCTTTGAGGCCCATATTAAGACACAAAATGCATAGAGAAAGTTTCCTGCATTTAAGGGATTATATTTCAACCACTGAAGATGTGATCATTTGGAGTGTTTAAACATGGATGCTGTACAAACAAGTAATATTTTTTTTCCAATTTATAAAAGTGCAAGAGAAATAGTTATCATTTGATTTTAAATTGAGAATATGTGATTTTGAATTTGTTGAATATATGTGTTTGTGTTCCAGAGGCTTAATGTCTGCGTATGTTTTGTGCTTGTGTGAACAGGGATGTCCTCAGGAGCATCGTCTCCCACCAGGAAAGAGCAGCCCCTGTTCTCGCTCAGACAGGTCGGGATGATCTGTGAAAGACTACTGAAGGAGCGCGAGGAGAAGATCCGTGAGGAGTACGATGAGATCCTCACCTCCAAACTCGCAGGTCTGGACCTTTGTGTTCTTAAATACATTCTAACATGAAGAATTCTCAACTTTAACACTTATGTTCTCTTTTATCAGAACAATATGATGCCTTTGTGAAATTTACACATGATCAGCTGATGCGAAGATTTGGAGAGCAGCCGGCCAGCTGTAAGTATCTCTAGTTGGCTTACAGCCATAAGCCCCTTATCAGCTGGCTTTACAGTTGTACTGTGCTCTGTAGTTAGGCCCAGAACGGAGTCGTGTGATGCGTAAAAATATGGATAATTGGAGCTATATTTATGCAACAATACTACAGGCATCTATAAAAGCCCTGCGTGTAATCCACTGTCATGGGAGTTTAAAATAATCTGCTGACCAGATAATGACCAGACTTACGTTAATGCTGCTTTAAATACTTTGTTGTGAAATGTGTTTTGTTCATTTGAGTTTTCCCTCTCCTCTTTGGCAGACGTGTCCTGAGTTTTGGGGTGGTTGTTGGAAAGCCTTGCTGCGTCTGCCGGACTCGGTGGCAGTGGGATTGTCGCTGTGCCATACGTCGCCCGTGTCTGGACCTGGGTCAGTGGAGCTGGCTCTGCTCCTCTGATGCTCCTAGTGGCCTCTTAACTGCCCTGTCTATATATCTTTGGTTTGTTCTGATGCCTTCACATTAGGCTCACTGCCACACGCACCCTTGGCCTTTCAATGTTTTCCTTTTTGTGAATGATTTTTTTTTTTTTTTTTTTGAAAAGGAGGTAGTGTACATTTTGAAAAGGGATTGGACTTATGCAAACGGACGATTGAAAGCCTTTTGACTGGACTCTGGCCACAGGCTCTTCAAGCATCGTTTTAACTTGTTCTGGCAGTTACTGCTATTTTGTTTGTATACACTGAACTTTTTATTTTTCTTTGCTTGAGTTTTGTTCAACGTAACAAGATTTTATTTGCTGTAGTTATATTGGGCTTTGGTTCAAGAAAAGCTTACAAATAAAGCGTTTACTAAATATCTGTGTCTGAGTTCTTTCACCATTGTGATTCATGGTACTTAACAGATGTTCTTAAATATCCACACACACCACTGCAAAACCAGGTACCAATTCAGGACTAAGCCAAGACTAGAAGAGGACTAAACCAGGTCAATGTTACAAACTTGTGGTCAACATTGAATTGCTATTGAGACATACTTCTTCGGATGATTTGATGTCTCTGTGGAGATGCTATTTCTTTACTTGGAATGTTCCGCTGTATGGCATTAAGTTACACACACGTTTTTATGACAATGAGATTGTGATCACTAATGAAAAACAAAGTTGTTGAAAGATCCATTAGAGATTACCTCTCTTGAATGTGCACTAAGTTGGTTATTTCAAAAGACAAAAAGGACAAGATGGCATTGGATGAAAGTTGATCTAGTTGAACATTTTGTAAAACTGATGTTCTATTGTTACTTGGTTTACAAAGTAAGGCCTGTGGTTAGTCATAAATCATGTATTTACATCAATTGCGTGCCAAAATGTCGATGCATGAGGTGTGTTTAGAGCACTCCGTATATGGTTTGGACCGCGGTCAGTGATAAAAACGAGCGCACCTCCGGTAAATGACGCGTTTTGGAAGCGACGTCTCTGATTGGCTGTTCAATGAGGAAGCGGATATGTACTTAGAGTAACATGGCATGTACTGCAATGTTATAATAACACTATGATATTAGTTTTATTTTATTACCATTAAAGGAGCATGGCTTGCCTACTTAGAAGAACGATTGCTGCCAAGGTAAATTAGGTGAAACTAGCGTGTAGCTGTATAAATAGTCTGATAGTCCTGAAGCATAAGCTGACCCTGAACCTCTGCATAGCCTGTATTTATTTAACCCTGGTGTTGTGACATGTGTATTTGGGTTTACAGCTGAGCAGGACTTTGCAGCAACCTGAAGAGCTCCTACTGCCCGCCCTGTCTGCTGTCCCAGTCTTCAGAAAACAGTGATTTATTTTTCCTAAATAATAAATACCCTATTGCAAACAATCTATACACACTATGTAAATAAGACATTGTTGGATTATTGTAGTGTCAAAGCCAGTCCTCACTCACTCAGAACAATTACAGCATGTCACAAACTGCATTTTCACATCGACAACTATGTTTTATGAGGACTTTATACTTTTATAATTTAGTATATTTCCTCCACAGGCAGACTCCTGACTTCAAACTAGCACTGAGTGTGTTACGACTGAATGGGAGTTTACCCACAACAGGAGACATACAGCTGCAGACAGAGGACCTAACCAGACAGGTAATAAAAGCAGCTGGTGGGCCATGATTGCCAGTGGTGGAAAGAGTTTTGAAAAGTGCAATTACAGGGCTAAAATGTACTCAAGTATAAGTACTGCTCAGAAATATCTGGACTCACATACAGCAGCTCATCCAGACCAAAACCAGACATGTGATCAGCCTCCAGGAAAAAGGGGACATCCTATTCTTTTTCAGCAACCACTACATTCACAAAGATCTCAGTTTTCTCATTCAGACTGATCATGCTGGCCAAATATTATATAGATAAAACAAAATGGACTCAAAATAATCCAAATGGGCACTAGTATAATAACAAAATACAACAGGTCTAAAACAGAAAAGCTATTAAAACATACAATATCTATAGGAAATACTTAAAACAATATCACTCTCCCCTACATATTATGTTTCAATTACATTTATTTGGTTAAGTATAGTTAGTTTTGTGGTCCTGTCTTGTTCTGTTTTCTTTTTTTTTCATTACATATCACCTCCGTATGTTCTATGAATGTGTATGTGATGTCCCTGTATTTGAACATATTGAATAAAAAACAAAACAAAACAAAAACAAGTACTGCTACCAAAATTGTACTTGAAAAATACTACTCAAAATACTAGTTATCTTACTTTGAAGCATTTAGGTCATGCTTTTATTATTTTCTACAACTCTTCTATCAATTATAAAGTGTAAAAGTGAGCTATCTGAGCTCTGGTGAATCAGAGCAGGAGATGCAGTGCTGTTATATGTGGATATACAAAGGAACAGAGACAGCCATGAATTGCATTATTGGGACTTTTGATATTTTAAAATATAACTAATAATTACATTACATGGCTAGAATTTGACTCAATTGCAAGTAAAGGTTTAAAAAGCTACTTCAAAGTATAAAAACCCCAAAATGTACTCAGTTACAGTAACGTGAGTATTTGTAATTAGTTACTTATGTGTTTACTTTAACTATATCCTACAGTTGGTATTCATACTGTAATGGCATGTTGTGGATGCAGTCACAGTACTACAGAACTGTGGTAAAAGTTGAACTGAACATCTGTTTCACAAAGAATACCCCGCAGCCATGTTTTTATTCTCACACGTGCCTGTCCTGCTGTTCTGTGCTACATGTGTTTTTCCATATAAATATGACCTCCTCAGTAGTTTGTGTGTGATGTAAGAAGATTTTTTTTGTCTTAGTTAAAACCAGACAATGTGATCGAGGACATTTCTGCTGGAAGTGGAGCCATCAACTTCACGATTAACCGTAAATTTCTAATACAGGTCAGTTGTATATTAATCAATTCTATTATGAAATCCATATTTATTGTTCACTGTAATTGTTTTTTTTTTATCCATTTATAGAAATTGTTGGAGCCATTTGGAAACAGTGATGCTACATTTGGTTTAAACAGTGAGCTTTTGAACACACTTAATCGTGGCACCACTTTAGTAGAGTACAGGTATGTGTGTCTAATCACTACTATGAGCACCACTACATGCACTATAGATATGGCATAATTTACTACTTTTACTTTTACTTATATATAATTTTTATTTTATTTTATATTTTTTTCTTACAGCTCTCCAAACATTGCCAAAAAGTTCCATGCTGGACACCTCCGCTCCACTATAATTGGTGAGTATTTGAAGCTCTAGAGTTGCTTTTTAAAGTAATGTATACTTGACCTATTTTTTTTTCCTGAGCAGGGAACTTCATTGCTAACCTGAAGCAGGCTTTGGGAAATAAAGTTATCCGAATGAACTATCTGGGAGACTGGGGCATGCAGTTTGGTGAGTGAAGATTATCCAATATTTGAAAGGGAAACTGTTTGAGTAATAGTATTTAATAATCTACAGTTTTATTACTAATAATAAAAACTGTTGTAAATGGCAGGAGCAGTAATAAAATGGTAGAGCCTGTTGTCCAAATGGTACTATTTTATGGTGGAGCCACTGAGAAGTTGTTGCTTTGCCTGGAATGTCTCACACTATGGCATTAAAATTAATTATCTCCATGGAGACTAGTAGGTCACAACACTGTTTGTCCACTAAAGTCATCAGTCGCTTTACAGAGCATTATTCATCATTCACTCCAAACCAGGTGGTGGAAAGCTTCTAGTGTAGCCACAGCTGCCCTGCCCAACAACCAACATTTCTTATGCACACACCACTTTCATACTAGGCAATGTGGGTGAAGTGTCTTGCCTAAGGACACAATGACAGTTTTTGCGCCTGGCGCCCCCCTGTGGCACCTGATTTTTATAGTGGTCCCACATCCAAGTACTAACCAGGCATGGCCTTGCTAAGCTTCTGATCTGATGGGATCAGGCTTTTGAGGCCGATATGGCCACAGTAAAACCACATGTAATGTATAATGTATAATAAATGCAAGATAGATATGCTCAATGCCATACTGTATAACATTCCAGGCACAGCAGGGGGCAGATTCTCCATCAGAAAAGTTGCGTAATTTGTCTTTAATTTTGTACTTGTACTCTGTCAAGGTTTGTTGGGAGCTGGCTTCACACAGTTTGGCTCCTATTCAAAACTCAAGGACAATCCACTACAGCATTTGTTTGAGGTGAGAGGACCGATTCTTTGGTCATTCAGCCAAAGACTATTGTTTCCACTTTGTATAAACCTGTTTTGTCACTGTGTGTGAGACATTTCACTTTCACAATAGTACGTCTTCCATTGTCACTCAGAGGCTTTCTCAGTTAATTAACCAACCATGAACTAACAGCTATAGGAAAATAGAGTAGGATCTGCGTATTTTGCATATGTTTTCACGGTTTGGCATCCTACAGGCAGACGTGGGTAGAGTAGCAGAAAATTGTATTCAAGTAAGAGAGTAAGCGTAGTACTTCAAAATAATATTAGTCAAGTAGAAGTAAAAAGTTGTGGATCAAAAAATTACTCAAGTAAGAGTTAAAAAGTATTTGGGAAAACTACTACTTAGTTAGGAGGTAAGATCAGATTCATAACTTGGAATTATTGTATTGGATCTGGTATTTCTAAAGTATAGACACAAAAATTAAAACAAAAAACTAAAAAAAAAATCATTGTATCTGAAGGAGCAGTGCCAGAAACACATGTTCAAATCTTTGGAAATTGTCAGCATAAAACCTTTGTCACTTGTAAACTTACTGATAGTGGGAAGAGTAACCAAAACCTTTGCTAAGTAAGTAAGAATATGATTACTTCAGGAAAAATATTGCTCAAGTAGGAGTAAAAGTGTGTGGCTAGAAGAGTACTCTGAAAAGTACAAATTCTTTAAAAAGTTACTCAAGTAAATGTAACTGAGTACTACCCACCTCTGCCTTCAGGTCTATGTACAGGTGAACAGAGAAGCGGAGCACAATGATAACTTAAGACAAGAGGCCAGAGACTTCTTCAGAAAACTCGAGGAACACGATACAGAGGCTATGAGTTTATGGCAACGCTTCAGGGACATCACAGTGGAAGAGTACCAGCATGTATATAAGGTACATTAAATAGCTATAATACTTGAAATGTCTGTAAAATGGCTTAAACCTTCGATAATTGTGTTTAATCTCAGCGTTTAGGGGTGTATTTTGATGTTTACTCCGGAGAGTCTCTTCACCAAAGCCAAGCTCAGGAGGTGGTCGAGCAGCTGCAGAGTCGAGGCCTGTTGAAAACTACTGAGTAAGTTATAATCAACTGTGAGCTGCAATTCAGTTTTGGGGATTAATAATTTAAAGAAG